TGCAAAACTCTCAGAAGGGGGAAATCCATCTCCCCACCCCTTTCTTGCCAGGCACCCCCCTTATCCCCCTCCCCTTATCTGTCATCCTACCCCCATCTCTTTTTTCCTCCACCCCTTCTCCATCAATCTTTGCCTTCCCTTTCCTGTCAACCTACCCTTCTATTTTCCCCTTCTCCCATTCCCCTTATCTGTCAACTTACCTTCTTTTGCCCCCCCCCCCCTTTCCCCCATCAGTCTACCCAATCCTTGCTGCTCTCCCCACCTACCCCCAACCTTGGCACTTCACTCATAATCACCTTTGTACCTCTCCCTATCTACACCACCCCAACATTCACTCACCGCCCCGCCCTTGCTGCTCTCCTCACCTACCTCATTACTCCACTCACCCCCACATTGCATCTCTCCCTATCTACTACCCCCACCCTTGGAACCCCCACCTCCCCCATCCTTGCTGCTCTCCCCACCTACCTTCCAGCAGGTGGGCAGCAGGCTTGTTGGCGTGGCATGGCGACTGTGAGGAGTTCCTTCCTGGTTCAGTGGGGGTTCTGCGAAACTCTCAGAAGGGGGAAATCCATTTTCCCACCCCTTTCTTGCCAGGCGAAGCAAGGCTCCCAGGCTGCCATGCAGTTGGGCCCAGCATGGCCTTCCGGGCTCACTGTGGCCCAGTTTGCTGTGCTGCCACGGGGCCCAGTGTGGCACACCTGAGGTATGTGCATTCTCTGCACTTGAACAGAAAGTGCTCTTTTACTTTGGGGAGAATTTAACCCCCCATTTTTTTGTCAGATTTTTCTGTAAACCTGGGAGTCTCCCAGGTTTGCAGAAAAATCTGTTTAGTGCAAGTGTAGCCCTGATCTGCGGAGTTAGGTATCTGCAGATAGGGGCACACTTGGGAAATAGTATATAGATACAAAATTATAACCAATATGTTGTCGAAAGCTTTCATGGCCGGAGTTCATTAGCTGTTGTAGATTTTACGAGTTGCCTGGCCGGGGTCTTGGCACTGAAGGACCTGACGGTTTGCCAGTAGCTGTGACTGGCATCCTCAGAGGTATAACACAGAACAATGGAGTACTCTCTGTGTCAAGGCGAGAAGAAAAATGGTAGGCAGGTAATTTGTATCTACTCAGGAAGGTGGGGTAGGGCTGCGTAGCATTCAGACAATAATAAGAGAACATGAAAGACACTGCAGACTTGGCCAACCCAAAAAATCAGCAGTGGCTGAACATACCCTAACCCAAACATGACACAGTATTTTGTTCCAAGACACTGAAAGGCTGGACAACACATCCAATTACCATGTAAGATTACACAGGGAAGTCATTGAAATTCATAAACATAAACACAATTTCAACACGAAAGAAGAGAGTTTTAAAAAAATAAATAGTACTTCTTCAGGGCCACATAGTCCTCTGAAGTGCCCAGACCCTGGGTTACACTACCAAAGGAGAGAGATTTGGAATTTTAATTTCTGGTGGCAGCAGAAACTACCAAGTTTATATACACAAATTGTGAATAAAAAGGTAAAACAGTTTCCCCTAAAAGCAAGCATGTCACAGAGTATGATTTAAAGAAAACACAGCCCCCCCCCCATTAGGAAAGACGCCACAGCCGGGGGGGGGGCAGTGAGGGAAGTAAAGGTGCTCAGGTTTCTCACTGCAGAAGCCTGCTCTGAGACAGCCAGAAGTGTTATGAAACCTCTCTTTGCAAGAAGCCTGTGTGCCCCTTAACACTTCACTCCTTGACTTCTCACTCTCTTCCCAGCTCCAGGCACAGTGGCTTAAGCAAGAGAGTGAGAGCGCAAGCTGGCTCTGAAAAAAGGACAGTAAAGGCATTACTACATCACTGTGGCCAGCTCGCTCACTTTTCAGCAGTCACTTGGGGGCTAGGATGAGATCATGGAGGGTGCACAAAAGGGAATGTTACACAAGACAGACCATTTTTCCATCCTTGGCACAAACACCACATCTCTTGCAACTAGCCCTTCCCTCATTTCCACCAGCAGCTATTTCAACGTGGGAACCTATTGCCAAACACAACCCTCACAAAGGCAATGGCTTTGCCCACCTTCCTGAAACAAGGGGTGGGCACCACATTGGAGAACAGTGTTTATCCTTTCAGGAAAGCAAGAAACCAAAGTAGTGGTCTAGTTAGTGTCTTGAGGTCAGAACCAAAGTAGAACTTCTGACTATAAGATGTCTTAGAGTTAAAGTTGCCAGCAATGAGTTACTTAGTCCAATATCAGATTATCCTGCACCTAAAGCATACTTGACAGATACCTGTCCAACCCTCTTTTGAAAAATCTTCAAAGAAAGGTTTCTAGGCAAATACTTCCAATATGAATTACTTCTTTTAGTTATGTTCTTCCTTATGTACTAAGCAAACTGACCTCTTTATAGTTCAAAAATACTATTTATTCCCTTACCTGATATAAGAAACAACAGCTGTGGCATCCAGAGAACCAGAGTTTTCTGCTAGTGCAATTGAGCTTTTCTCCCTCCTCTTTTTGACTTCAGCTCCTTGACTTTCTAGAGAACCATGGGACTTGCAGTATAGTTGGCGGACTGCAGGGTTGTTGTGTGGAGGGGGACAACCAGCAGTAACTTGGTAACAGAGCAGAACACCTTCCAGCTTTGTAAGGTACTTACTCTCTGCCTCCAAGCCACGGCCTTTTAAAAACCAATACTCAAAAGCTATCTACTATACTCCCCACATTTTATAATATTTGAAATCTAAGGACATTTACTTGGTAACAGAGCAGAACACCTTCCAGCTTTGTAAGGTACTTACTCTCTGCCTCCAAGCCACGGCCTTTTAAAAACCAATACTCAAAAGCTATCTACTATACTCCCCACATTTTATAATATTAGAAATCTAAGGAAATTTATTTAGGAATTCCTGTCATCTTTGGTTATCTCATGAAGCTATGAGGCATTCATCAATCACGAGCAAGGATGCATTCTTCTTTTGAAGACTCCATTAGAGGATTTGTCTCTTGAGGGCAAATTTGTGACGAGGCTACTTGATCTAATTATATCTTTGCTACAATAGGTGATCTGCCATTAAGTCCAATCCTACCACAGACCATAATAATTACCTGGAGACGTTGTATATATGCCACCATTTCCTGCAGCTGACACACTGTAGATAGTTCCTGATACAGCTGAGGTGGATATTACTGGGCAACCTAAATTTATGAAGCAATATGGGTACCTCAAGCTGTTCCGAACTGCATGATCATGTGTGTGTATGTGCAGCACCTGAGATGATACCTCATCAGAATGTGCGCTATGTATCCCCTTTCTTCCCTTCACAAGTATCAGGCAAGTGAAAGAATTAGGTCATCGTCCCAATTTTGTTCAGTGAATTAAATCTGCAACTTTGCTTGAGAGATTAATGTTTCTAAAAGCCCTTTTGTTTTCCATGTAACAATCTAATAGCAGTAATTACTTCTTGTTCTGCATTACAGATGTCATAGGAATTCCATTTTTTCCCTTCCTTTTTGTCATTGGATTTCAGCACTTCAAAGATTATTGATAAAATTTACTCAATGATAGCAAATAAGCATATGTACTCTGTCTTGACAAGCCAAATTTCCAAGGCAAATGCACTGGTATGACTGTGAAAGAACAAGCATATCCCCTGGCTGCATGTATAGCAGAAGACTGTGCATCATAACCAATACCGAGCTGTACAATTGCCCAACAATGCAGACAGATCTCTTCATCATTTCTATAAAATTGTTGTACTTGCAGCAACCTACACACCTATAAATACCAGTCAAACTCAGTGTGCCTGGGGGAGGGAGAGTGAGTGCACTCTTTGAATTGTTCTCTTCTACCCGCATAAAGTCAATGTAAAGAAAATGACCCAATTACATATTTTCCCTACAAAAATTACAGAAAAAACCATAAAAAGTATATCACTCCCTCAAAGATATAAGTCCACAAAATGAATCAGTAAATTGTTTTACACAGTACCTAGTACATTCTGCAAGGTTTTGACTACTCAAATATATCCAGCTTTCTGGAAATTATTTAACACTCCAAAATATTTCTGTACAGGACACTTTATTATGACATCCACTATGTATTCTGCAGAAGACAGGGCTTAGTCTAGGAGACACTGTACCAGAAAACAACTCTTGACTCTCATTATATGTATACACAGATACAGTATATCTCCATCAATTGAAACTTAATCACCTTTTTACAATTTAGAGGGGGATAGCAGTTTTTAGTGTGGTTAAGCCATGTATCATCAATACCATGAAGTTAACCTATCAGTTGTAATAGCTTCTATAAAATACCAGACTGAGATTGCAATAAGCCTGGAAAATGGGCTACAAATCCCAGATATGCTCAAGCAAGCAGTGAACCAAAAATAAAAATAGGGAGATCTGAAACCAGGAACTAGACACCATTCATCTGATTCATGACCAATAATGGTAAAGTTCACAGGTCAAGGTTTTAAGGCAGATTATTCGGTTAAGTACAGCTATTCCTCAACAAACATTCAAAAAATTTCCTTAGGTACATAAAATAAGTTCCACAGATTTTTAAAAATACATTTTACATCCATTGCATAATGTTTTTAACAGCGGTTCTAATAGAAGGCAGGTCATCTTGTATCTATATCTATTCACAGAACCACTGATATGGGCAAAGGATAGACTGCATAACTTGGGGGTTAAAGTCCAAAAAGGACTTGGGGGTTAAAGATATCAGGAAGCATTTCCATAATTAAAAGTACATTGCTTTAATACATACAGCTTTGCTACACTACACTTAATACTGTTAATTTGACCTTCAAGAATAACATCCATGTTGGGTGCAATGAAAAGATACAGCTCTGAAAGGAGAACCAAATATTAAAAATAGTAGAACTGAGTCTCACCACTCTCATTTGCACCTTGAAAGAAAATTATTTTCAATTATGCATGAAAAATAGTTATTTAAAATGCTATCATTTAATGTGGAAATACAGGATGAGAGCCAGCCTACCATTGCTGTTGAATTTCCTGTAGCTTTTTTGACGCTTCTTGCTGGCATTCCATGAAGATGGCTAAATCTTGTCTGGAAATCTACAAAACATTATTACATATTACACAACTACATATTACAGTTCCGCTTAAACACAACTAACTGGCAACCCTAACTGAGTTGCAGCTGGGCCTACAGCAGGGACAAAGCAAGGGAAAGACAGAACAAAACCAACACACCAGACTAGCTTTACTGGTGTAGACCACACAGCTTTACTGGTTACCGTTTCTGGCAACTTCTCCAATGCTCTGGCAGAGACTCTCTGATGTAAATGAAATCTATTTGCTGACAGCAGACTCCCTAACATTCTGATTGGGTGGTGACGTGACCCAGGAGAAAGATTACCTTAAGCCAGCAAGTAATACAAGTCACTCCTCTTGCTCACTATCACCAGCATGTGGAGGCAGCTGTTACATCAGCCCCTCTGGTGAAGTAGCCATGAGGCCCTGAAGGGTCCATCCCATAGGACCACACAGAAAGCCTACCCTGCTTGCACAGAAGGGCACTGGACACTGTCCTGTATAAGGCTCCTCTTTCTCCCACAGAATGAACTATGTATGTATATGCCCTCCAGTTGCAATCGACTTGTGGAGACCCCAGCTTTTAATGCAAGTAGGAAGCAGCAGTGGGTTGCCATTGCCTTCCTCTGCAAAGTCTTCCTTGGTGTTCCCCCATCCAAGTACTGCCCCTGCTTAGCTTCTGAGATCTAATGACATCAGGTTATACCATACAAGTCCCCGAAACAAAGGGTAAGAGGGGAATACCTCCAAACTGGTTTGCCCTGCTGATCCCAGTCAGCTGACCTGATCAGCCAATTGGTAAGGCCTGCAAGTGACAATTCAGATGAGCTACAGGCATTCAGTACTGATCATGCCACTGCTGGGCACCTTCCATTAGTTCTCTGTCTTTACTCTCCATGCCAGGCACAGCAATGTGTCCCTTCCTGGGCAGGAACCAACCTCATAAATAAAAACTCTCTTCTTGTTGGTGGAAATATTTTTGTAACCAAACTGTTAGTCTAATTCAGCTAGCCCTTCCACATAAGAAGTGCTGAATAAAGTAAAAAGAGCCAGAACCAAAACTTAGTTGCTTACCATCTCTTAGTATTTATTCTCAAAATGATCTGTTTGTAAAACTAGCTACACAGTATATTATATAGCTTCAAAAGGTAGAGCTTGCTTGTTTCAACTTCACATAACTCTGCTTGTATCTGATACTACCGGTAGATACAGAATTTTTTGCTTATGTAGATGCAGGCACATTCTTCAAAAGTAACATGGGGCAACAGCCCTGTGAAGCTTATCAGTCACACTACTGTATTCATATGCTGCATATCAGATATAGATCAACAAAACGTAAAAATTATAATTTCTGAAAAGGCATGAAACTGACTTTTTCCTTTACTACCAAATTATTTTATTCCTGTTTTAATATTTTCTGTTTTTAAAATAATTTTTAATAATACGTATTTTAATACCAATTTTTGCAAATGTGGGTTCCTGTTTTTTAAAAACCATATATTCAATGTTTTTGTCAGTCAAAACATTGCCTCCTAAGAAATGAATGCTGAGAGAGCATGATGTAAACATTTTAAACTAACTGAGAAAGAGAGAAAGACTCCTTCATTAAGCATAAGTTCAGAAGAACAAGCATTGATAGACACTAAAAAAAGACTATTAGCGAAGGCAAGGGAACAGAAATTTAAGAAACTCTGAGAGCTCAGTAAGAAACTTTGGATACAATGATGGACAAAATTGCCCAAACATCCACCCAACTGATATGACAGTATTTAACATCATAATTACGCAAAGGATTACAGCTTCATACTATATTAGATACTTTTCTCAACTTTTTCATCTGCTTTAGGACTTTGATCACAAACTTTAGTTTGCATTAATGATCCTGCAGCATATGTCATAACAAGTTTAAAATATATTACTCTGCCTTTTAAATATTGCTGACCTCTCTTTCCTGAATGGGACATAAGAGGGAAACTGCCAGTTAAGATACTTTCAAAGACTGGATCGGGCAACTCTTTCTCTAGTTCAGCTGGGTCTTCTTTTTCCCACCAGGGAATGATCCCAGTAATCCCACAGGCACCTCCAGGCTCACTTTCATGGAACCAGTCACTCTGCTCATCATCACCTGTGTAAAAAAAACATTTCATGTTAAAAAAAAAGATATTCAGGTTTATTATCCAAAGCCTCACTTGTAATCAGAATTACTTTCCCCTATACTACTGTAAAATAGTTGCACCTGTAGTGTAGCTCTACTCAGAACATTATGTTTACTAGTCTGACAACTAAGAGGACATAAACAATAACATTTTAAAGCCAGTTCAGATATGTGAAAATTAATAAACTGGCTAACCTTGTAGTAACAACTGTAAAAAAAAAGTAGGGAAACTCCTTTTAATTTACTATACTTTACATATTAACAATAAACAAGCTTTAACTCCTACATGGAATTAAAAGGTATAAAATTGGAAAACCAACCCTTTGCAGTTGATAATGGTATACAATTAGCTTAATTTCATGATTTGTATGGTATTTACAAAGGTGGAAACAATTACAAACAGATGTAACCAAATAACATGTTTAATTGAGTTCATTAAGAAATAAGTTCTGAAAAAGCTGATTTTAAATTAAACATGACAATACCATAAGACACACTGAAAATGTACTACACGTCACCAAGAATCTAGCAACATTTTACTGCCTCTTAAAAGAAAAAAATATACAAAGAGTATACATTCATGTACTTCATTAAATCAACATTTAAAAGTTGCATGCAAAAAATACTCCTCAACTTGTAAAACACTTTTGCCATATCTTTCTACTTTCTGTGTACTATTCATAGTTGCAGCGATAGCATTGGCATATATTGTGGGTAGCCTCAGGGATGGTATCACAGACATACAGCCAATTAGGAAGAATGAATCAGTTGCCCTAACAACAACAATATACTATCCTGGTAATGTGAGGTAAGGAGTGACAGCACAGTTGTCTTGACTATAGTGATGTTGTCCTACATTGACTTGAGGCTCCAGAATCTCTTGAAATATATACAAGATGAACATGAATAATCTTGAACATGTACAAGATAAACCAGTAAGATATAAGGGAAAGGAAGTAGCTAGTTAGGTGGGATTCCCCAAGGCTATGCTAAAAAGGGAAGTAGCCTCAGGAGGAGACGGATCACTGACTTTCTTCCTAGTGCCTCTTGTTTTCCCAACATTACATTTGAATCCAAGTAGAATACATTTTATAGGTTCTCATAACTGCTTCCAAAAATGGTAATCAATGCTTAAATATAATTTTTTTAAATTAAAATTTGTTTAAGTTTTAATAGTTTTCCCTTAAGAGATTTTTAAGCACTGTAAGTACAAGGTTTGGGTGCCTGTGGCTTTTCAAACTTGAATTTTGTTTTCAAGGTCATGCTTCCATTGAATCACCCTATTTCACAATTTTAAATTATTAACAGAGCTGAAATGGTTAAACTGGTTTAAACTGCCTCCCCTCCCCTCCAAGAGCCGGCTTGCTCGGGCTCCCCTCAGCCGCGAGGAACCAGAGCAAGCCAAGGGAAGGGGTTTAAACCGCCTTCCCTTGCTGGCTTTCCAAAGCCCCCTCCCGAGCCTTTCCTGGCCGCCTGTCACAGGGGCCGGCCAGCAAGGGCCAGGGAGGGGTGTGGGGATGCATTTAAAAGCCTCCCCATGCATTACCCCGGTCACCCACTTTGGCGGGTGACCCGGGGAAGGCTTCCAAAGCCCCCCCGCCCTTCCCTCGCTGCCCACCAAGGCAGGCGAGCCAGGAAAAGCCCGGGAGTGGGGAGGCATTTAAATGCCTCCCCATGCTTTCCCTGGGGCCAGGGGCTGCTTTTTGGGCAAGCCGCTGTGGGCCAAATCAGATTCTCTAATCTGATTCGGCCCACCGCTGAAAGCTGCCACTGAAATTCGGCAGCTTCCCTACTCATATTCTTTAAGTCAAAAGGTAAAGGGTTCCCTTGCTTGAAAGCCACTCAAATCCAACTCTACGGGGTGGTGCTCATCTCCATTTCCAAGCTGAACAGCCAGTGCTGTCTGAAGACATTTCTGTGGTCATGTGGCTGGCATGACTAAATGCTGAGGCACACGGAACGCTGTTACCTTCCCACCGAAGCGGTACCTATTTATCTACTTGAAATTTCTTGCTTTTGAACTGCTAGGCTGGCAGGAGCTGTGGCCAGAGATGGGAGCTCACTCCGTCACACGGCACTAGGGTCTCAAACTGCCGAACTACAGACCTTCCGGTCTGCAGCTCAGCATCTTAACCTCTAAGCCACTGTGGCCCATTCCTTAAGTACTGCATCATATATAGGCCCATCTAGCACCTCATGTCAATGCAGCACCTCTTTTTAAGGGTACCTATTTTCAGGGTGGAACACCCAGCCTCTTTAAGATCTTCTGTGTTTTTAGTGGTAGCCCCATACTTTTGGACCATCTTCTAAAAAAAGTGTGAAGAATGCTGGACCCAGATTTTATACCCGAGACTGTCTGCAGTGGAAGGCACCAAGAGAGAAAGAGTAAATCCTCAGATTTAGTTCTGAGTAAAGTTGCCTAGGGCCCTCCCATTGCTTTAACATTGGGCTTTAACAAATTTCTAACAGAAGTTCCAGAGTTTTGTGATAATGTGTATTGCCTCTTTATGAGCTCTTGAAGGTATGTGAGTGTGTACATATGATAGAGCACTCTTGGTCAACTGGAAAGGTCAGCAGACTGGACATTCTCTCTTTGATTAGCTGTCTCTAACCTCTGTTAAACGGGAACACTTATTAACATCAGTGCTGAAGAACACAGAGAGTACTGCAGTATATAGTGATGGTTTTATATCAATTTCAAAAATAATAATGCTGAAAACTTTATACACACATTTTGGAATTAATGAACAAATCTGGCATTCAATTTACAAGCATGTACCTTATGTGCCTCTACAGTGATTAAATTGATTATTTCTGTTTTTAAACCTGGACTCACTTTTGCAGGGTTTAAAAAGAAACAAAACTTTGATGCTCATTCTCAAAAGTTCCTATGAAGTAGATTTAAAAATAAACCAACCTCTTGTGAAATAATACACCATATTTCTAGAACTTAAACTAAAAATTGTACTGCTCCAGTACCTTGTCTTCCCTCATCGTTGGTAAATAAACCAGCATCACTACTGCTCAGGCTGCTGGATTCACTGTAACAATGAAGAGAAAGTGCAATTGACATCTCAGTCGTAAAATTTTAAACAGACAAGATTGAACTCAGATGAAACTTAAGCCTGACCAAAATCTAAAAGAAAATAAGATGATTTAAAAAAACCACACACACACACACACACACACACACACACACACACACTGCAAATATCCCAGTTCCATTAACTACAGAACATATTATTTTTTGGCACATAAAACCACAGGAATCTAATGGGACCCTGACAGTAAGCCAGATGTGACTGCAATGAGGTGCTGACACAATTGATGCATTTTATTATCTGTTCCCATCAAATGTTCACTGCTCCTTTCTTATGCTGTGCAATTCAGCTTGATCCCAAACACCACTGCTCAATAAAGGGGGGGAGTTGCTATCAAAAGCATTCCTTCTTCAGCACATAAAATACATGTACTGAGAGAATGACTTTTCTTAACATTTGCAAAATATTCTGAAAAATACACTACATAAAGATTCATTATAATTCTATTGAGACAAAGAAAGAATGTTTACAATAATGACAACCTATTAAATCAAAAGGTCACCCTGAGAAAAATGAAAATGATCAATATGATAACAACAAAGAAAGGGGGGGGGAGACACTGTTTACCATTTATTTTTCTTTAATTTCCAACTAACGGCTGCGTCTGACATTACACTTTCTCAGACATTCTCCAAATGTTTTAGCAGTATGCTATACAAATGTAAGTGCGTGCAAATACAAATATACCACTGTGTGCACTATTCAGTTCATGCACAAGGGAACTGAGACTGGCTGTGAAGGCAGTGATCCAAACACTGGCTGCCAAATAACCTACAAAGCAGCAAAAATATATCAGGGCACCATTTAGGAAGGGCCTGTGTTTCAAGCTACATGCAATTATTCTTCAGAAGTATTTATCTCTGCTGTTATTACGAGGAATTAAAAAATAATCACAGCCCACACTTTTAAAATATATTGCTTTTCTGGATTTTAAAATTTGCGGTGAACCTTCAACCACATATTCTTGAAATAAATATTTTCTTACCCCACCACTAAAACCTGAAATTTAGTGTCTGAAGTATATATTACCCATAGGGAACAACTTTTTCTGCTGTATGAATGCCAAAAGTAAGGAGATCGGTTCCATCAGAAAATAGAAAATAAAAAGTAGCTATACAACCTCACAATGCTCTAAAAGGAAAATACACTACTGCAATCCTAACAAAGCTATTTATAAATGTAATCATGAAATTAGGCATACAGATCTTTGTGAATTATGGTACTTTAGCCCATTGTACATGAACAGGTATAAAACATATTAAAGTATGTCAGTTCTAGTGACAATCTGTAAAGAGAATGCCTTAGACAACACTGTAATATCTAGTTGTGCTCACTCACAACCACTAAAGGACAACTGAGAAGCATTTCAGGGGTTATTTCAGAACTGCACCTAGAGACGCCAGTGGCAGCTCTGGCAGGTAGTGCTTTTCACAAGCTTCCTTTGGTCCACTCACATTTGGAGGTCTAGCAGCCACTATATATCCTTTTGTAATCCTCCACAATTGAACACTGAAATAAACTTTAGGTGGGGCTGCTCTTTAAGATCATGCAGGTTCTTCCATTAGACCACCATACTATAACTCATCTTATGTGGGATCATATGACAGCTTTCTGCATGTAATTCAAATTGCTGTCATTAACATATAAAACCCTAAGCAGTCTGGCCCCTGTACCTGTTAGGAAACACCTTGTCATATTTGTGCCATCTACCTGCTTGGGTGACCTGAGGAAACCCTACTTCAAGTACATTATATTCAAAATGCAACATCCTCCAAAGTTAACATCAAATTAGAGAGCTTCTGCTCAATGCAGGTCTGCCAGAATTTCTTTGTGCAGAAGACATCTTCTATCATTATTGGCTTTTTAAATCAACAGCTTAGTACTTTAATTTATTACCATTTGCTATTTAATACTGTATTCAACAATGATTAAACTTACTTAGCAGGACCATAATATCAGTTCAGGGGAAATGTTGATGCTATATCAAAGGTGCAAATATAGTATGGTAGACAGAGTTATGCAGTTTAAAAGTAACCCTGGAATAAAAATACATGAACAAAATTGAGATTTGATAATGTCTCCTCTCTTGACTCCCAAAGGTATGAGAATGACCATAAAATGTGAAATAACTCTACATGTATGTCCTTGACCAACTTCCACATTTTCCACTTTACTGTTCTTGAGACTACTGTTCTTGAGACTAGTATGAACATGCTTTTAGCACAAATGAGGTCCCTCCTAAATTGTTAGCATGCAGAAGTTAGCATGCAGAAGAATAAGTTCCTGCAAGCAAAGCTCTTGAGTTACAGGATTCTTACTGACTTATGATCTGCTAGCACAGGGCACAAAATGGACAATAAAACATCTGAAGTACGAACAGAGCTGCAATCAACGTAGCTGCAAACTGCAAATACTTATTTTGGCTTGGTCAGACATGCAAAAGTGAGTCAAGGCTTACTAGAGGGGTGAGAAGGGGGAAGAATGAGCATGCTCTGCCCCCAAGCCACAGACTTTCACCGGTAAAATAGGTCAAAGGTAGAACAAGTCTTCCAGGCTGAAAGACTCAAGATTAATTCTCAGCATCCTAAATTAAGGAATATTAGGCAGCAACTGTTGAGACAGACCCTTCTGTGCCTGAGACACAGATAAATGCTGAAGCTTTGCAATGTATGGACCTTATAAGGCTAAAGTTACTAACAGTGCGATAGACGTAGATTGAAGTAACTCTGCACAGGATTACACTGTAAATGACCAAGCCACCACCCGGGATTTTTCAGAGATAATGCAAATGTTATCTGTGAAATAATACAAGAAAAGTACATTGCAGAAAACAAACTTTCAAAATTAAAACGCTGATATCAGGAGCTGAAATATATAACTGTAAAAGGAAGTCTCCAAATGGTATTAGATGGTACACACACATTGTTATTACATTTTAATCATAGAATACGGGAAAAACACTTTGGCATAAACATAGCGATACTTGCAAGTCAAACAAAGCTGCTTTTCAATTAGCATTAAATGAAAAATGGAAAGTAACCTGTCACTCATGTTTTCATCCGAGCCCTTTTGTTCCTCATATTCCATTTTATCCTTGTTTGCCTGGTTGATTTCATCATTCTCTATGACTACCCCTTCATCCAAAATTTCTGGTCCTTGCCTACTTGCAGTGAGTTTCCTTTTTTTAACTTTGCTCTTTATTAGTTCTTGATGCTGGCAAGATCTGTTGTCATTGTCCATTTCTTGATCCCTAATATCCTGCTGCTGGGGTAAAGTCAGTGTGTTTGTTACTTCTGAAGGTAGGTCAATTGCCATTCGTTTCACCTTTCGCCTTCTACGCAGAGTCCTATTTCCTAAATTGTCAACTGCTAGATCAGGTTCATGCCATAGAGGCCTTTTACCTCTGAGGTTGTTTAAATTTGAAGATGGCCTGCGTTTTGCAACCAGCAATTGATCATCAGAATCACTATGGTCTTTCTTATTATTGGCATGATTCTCTCTATAATCCTTGTTTGGTTCTTCAAGGCTGGAATCAGAGCCTTCACTCAAACAATGGCCAGTCTCCCATGGGTGATGGGTGTTAAATGAACGTCTTTTTCGGCCCCTTCGCTTTCTGGCCTGACGTTTTAGAAGACAAGAGACGCTGCGCGAGTGATCTCCTGTGTCTGCAAAGCCCCCTCTTGCTTGTTCCGAACTTTCCTCCAGTGCCGAGACCAGATCATGAACTAGTTCCTCCATAGTCTTACTGAAATGCCTGTATTTGGGGAGTGGGAGTGGGGTTGACAAAGAATTTCCAGTTATAAAAAACAGCATGAAAAAATACTTGATTAATAATTAAAATCACAATTAGATATTCTAATTCTAGCAATTTTTTTAAAAAAACCGAAAAGCCCATTTTAGCTAAAACTGTTCTATTTTTGACATTAGGTACAGTAAAAAATTGAATACATAACTTTTGACCTATAGGGTTCACAAATTTGACCTACAGGGTTACTGATGGCAACACGTTCTCCCCATGACAACTGCTCCACAACAATTCTCTATGAACTACACAGAATATAAAAGGAAGAGGTCCATCTTTCCAGACAGAAACATCACTTCTGTTTTCTACAGGAGCCCTGCAAAAACAAACTTGCTCTTCTCCCCTCCAAGTCCTCAGGTACACAGAGGATTTGGGATAGGATACTATTTCTAATTTATACAAAACTTCAGAGAAGATAAGAAGCAGTTTATCCCATCTCCAGTAACTTCTTAGGCCCCGGAGAAATGGCAAGACTGTTTCTCACTTTGAAACCCTGTGGTATGTAAAAACAAGGCTCTACTACCCCCTCTAACACTCTCTGCATGCACCATGGGACTCTAGGAGAGGAGCTGAGTCTCATTTAGTTTTGCTTGGAACTTTTACAGAAGCAGCACAAATCTCTGGCAAGCCAGCATGAGACAGACCACAGCCACCATAATCCTTTGGCATTTGCCAAGGACACAAGAAAGGAATGAGTCAATGATTTCCACAAATAATGGACAATTAGTAAGGCAAGCCAAAGTCCGTGGACACCTGGGCTGCATTCAGACCACACAGCAAGCTGCAATTCAACTCCAGTTATGTGGGACAGATAGTTGCTTTGCTAGCAGCATGCCCTTCGCTTCTTCCACCTCTCTTCTTGCATGAAGTCAGATGTAAAACTTCCCAATTTGATCAAGCTCCAATTCAATCTGACATCCATATGCAGGTGAATACTATAAATAAGCTCCAGTTCACCAAGGCACATGCCTTGCGATACCACAGGAGTTTGATCAGACTGGGATGAATGAATGCAGGGCAATTCACTAAAATAATATCTCACAAGAGAGTTCTTTTATGACTGCATAGATTCCAAGGCAACAGTTTTCTTTTTTTATTTACACGCAACAACAGAGCACAATAATTTTATTGGAAAGGTACCAATTTAGCTAAAGGATTGTAACTGCAACAAACAAACAAAAACCCTTCTAAAAACTTTTAGTAGACAAAAGGGGCACAACTGTGTTGGGAGAAAGATGGCCCCAAAGTATTTCAGATAAATAAACACAGGACTTTATTTCCAGATTCAAGCATTCAGCTGAGTAAGTGTCACTTACAAACTTGTATCGTGGAAGAGAATAGTCAAGCAAGGATTCAACAGATTGTGGGAAGGAATAATTCTATCAGTGTACCATCTTCTGTTTCACCAGCTCCCAGGACAGTCCCTGAAAGTGTATACTTGCATAACTATGGGCTGGCTTAAACAATACTTATTGCCTGTTAGTACCATCACTTCCCTATGCAGATGAACAAACACCTTACAGAACACAGATATTATCACAGCTAGTTTAAAAGCAGCTAGTCTATGATGAGGTTCAACAAGTGTGAGAGCCAGCATGGTGTAGTGGCTGGACTGTACAACAAGGATCTGTGTGACCGAGGTTCAAATCTCGGCTTGGCCATGGAAGATTGCTGGATGACCTCGGGCCAGTCACAGACACTCAGCCTCACCTACCTCACAGGGCTGTTGTAAAAATAAAATGGAGGGGAACAATATAAGCTGCTTTGGGTACTCACTGGAGAGAAAGGTGAAATATTTTTGAAGTAAGTAAGTAAATAAATAAATAAATAAATGTAAGCCAGATACATTACTCAGAGCATACATCATTTTACACATAGCTTCTGGACAGATGACTATATTTCTAAAAAGTATAATATTAACATTTTTGAACTGCCTAATCTACCAGGCACATATACACATCTCACTGTGCCTCAGCCTACCACTTCCAAGCACCTATAGATTTTAAAGAAATTATTTCAGATCTATGCTCTTCTACCCAACTTATGTCTTTCCTCTCTCCATTCCTCTGCTAATGTAAAACTCCATCCTACCTCTCCCGAACAATACCGTACCAATTCTGGCACTAGATTTATCTCTAAAGACCCAACACACTAACCACATCCTTCAACAATCCTAAAGAGAGTAAGGTATTATTATTCTACAACATGGTTTGCCTGATCAAATTAAACCCTGTGGTGACTTAAAACTGGATGTCAAGTTTAATGTTATGCACTTTCACTCAGAAGAAAGTCCTACATTGTTCAATGGGACTTACTTCAAAATAAGCATAGATAAGTTTCCAAGCAAGTGATCTTGCTTACTATTCTTCCAAGTGTTGTACAGAAAGAGCCAAAGAGACAGCTCCAGAAACACAAACCAAGTAAGACCAAACAAAATAATACAGCACTGTGAAGATAAAACATTTTAGGCCATAACCTTCATTCAGCACAGAATGGTTTGCTGACATTAATGGGCACAAGTCAGGGCTAGTATCAGGTAACCCCCTTGGCACACTGGGATCCAAGAGAAAAAACTGAAGCCACCCAACATCTGATCATCTATTGTACATCATTTTACACATAGCTTCTGGACAGATGACTATATTTCTAAAAAGTATAATATTAACATTTTTGAACTGCCTAATCTACCAGGCACATATACACATCTCACTGTGCCTCAGCCTACCACTTCCAAGCACCTATAGATTTTCAAGAAATTATTTCAGATCTATGCTCTTCTACCCAACTTATGTCTTTCCTCTCTCCATTCCTCTGCTAATGTAAAACTCCATCCTACCTCTCCCGAACAATACCGTACCAATTCTGGCACTAGATTTATCTCTAAAGACCCAACACACTAACCACATCCTTCAACAATCCTAAAGAGAGTAAGGTATTATTATTCTACAACATGGTTTGCCTGATCAAATTAAACCCTGTGGTGACTTAAAACTGGATGTCAAATTTAATGTTATGCACTTTCACTCAGAAGAAAGTCCTACATTGTTCAATGGGACTTACTTCAAAATAAGCATAGATAAGTTTCCAAGCAAGTGATCTTGCTTACTATTCTTCCAAGTGTTGTACAGAAAGAGCCAAAGAGACAGCTCCAGAAACACAAACCAAGTAAGACCAAACAAAATAATACAGCACTGTGAAGATAAAACATTTTAGGCCATAACCTTCATTCAGCACAGAATGGTTTGCTGACATTAATGGGCACAAGTCAGGGCTAGTATCAGGTAACCCCCTTGGCACACTGGGATCCAAGAGAAAAAACTGAAGCCACCCAACATCTGATCATCTATTGTTTGTTATGTCTGCAATTGGATGCCCCCCCCCCTTTTGGTATTTTCTACATGCATGTATGTGTGTGTGCATGAGTGTGTATGCACCTGGAAGCCATGGCAACTTCTGGTGACTGATCCCTACTGGGGGCCTGGAGGATATTCAGAGATGTGGCTGAGTAAAGCCTGCCCCCATCTCCCACCTCTGGTATTTCAAGAAGGTCTCCCATCCAAGTACTTGCCAGAGTCGACCCTGCTTAGCTTCTGAGATCTGACGGGATCAGGCTTGCCTGGGCTATCCAGGTCAGGGCTATGGCTTTCATTTTTTTGCTCCTTGTTTCCAGCATGCCAAGGGTGCAACCAGATACTAGCCACACTCTGAAACCAAAGATACTGGATGTCATGTCTTGGCTCCATGCGCCTATGTTGACTTTACAGTACCTGCATCCGATAAGAACCCCAACTAACAAAAAGAATGAAGCATTAAGAACACAGCCTGAGTCTTTTATTTTTCTCCATCTCCTTTTCCTCTTCTTTTTTAAAAAACAAAAACACAACAACACCCAGCCTATGAAGAGTTCCAGAGAACTCAAAAGCTTGCATGCAGTGTCTTGGATACGATGCAATGAAAGCAGAACTGTGCTGTAGGTGATACTTTGCCTGCCTCCACCTCCCGCTGCAATTATTTATGCCCCCTGAGAATGCACCCCATGGGATAGTGGACCCTTAGGAAAATCATGGATGCAGTGAGAGGCAAGAGTAGGCAAAAACTGCCCTCCCCCCTCTTCTGCAAGCAAAAGTCCTTTATGAGACCAGAAAGTTACCTTTCAGTCTCATGTTATCTTGGTTGGTCTTTATAAAAGCTATTCCATGGTTTGTGTTTTGGCACTATGGACCAATGTGATTGCCTACTATTTTTGTCCTAAGAAGAACACTATCTCTAATTTCCAAACATATCAATTCTGCAGTCTCTGATGGTTACATGACCAAATGTTTTAGACTGAACTAAAGGTACTGCTTAGTTGCAAACCAGTCTATTATGTCATAGCAAACAAGTATTATGAATATTTGCTCAGGAAACATATGAATTTCTGCCCACCTCAAATGCTTAATGCAACATATGGTGAAAAACAAGCCTAGAGCATGAGGACCATTCTGTGGATTCCTCATTCATTTCCTGCCTAGTTTTTGTTTACTTCACACTGCAGCCTGTAAACAAGTAATCAGGTGCAACAGGATGTGCGGATCAATAATATATGCATGTTACACATTTAATGTTGCTTAACATTTTTTACTGATATTTCTGTTTTAGGACTAGTACATTTTGTGATAATATATTGGCACAAGCAAGGATACTGTTGGACATATCACAGGCATACACAAAGTACTGAAGCCCTTTCCTCTGCCATGATATCCCTTTGGGAAGTCTTGACCAGCTTCATCCATGCAATTTCACAGCTAGAGCAACAGCCTAATTCCCAATCTTATTTGTTTTTGTCTAGCACAGCAGACTACAGGTTAAGGCAGGGGTGTCGAATTCACTGGAAATGTGTTATTTAAAGTTTAAAAAATATTTAATTGTGTTTGTCTGTGTCCTTAATAAAGTTTTTATCACTGCCACCTGGCATTACCTTTTACGACACACAAGGTCTCATTTATGTCAGAGCCAGCCCTCATAACAAATGAGTTTGACACCCTGGGTTAAGGTATACAACACTTTTTGTAGGAACTGAAATGAAAATCACTGACATTACTGTAGTAACAGATGGACACTTATCATATGGGCATTGTTTAATAATATATCTGTTCATGACACTGGTAAGCATCTGGGATCAAAATGTCTGTACATTTGTTTAATATATCTGTTCATGACATATGTAAGCATCTGGGATCAAAATGTCTGTACAGTATAGCTATACAATGACACAAGCTTCACTGTGTTCCTGATTTTTCATGGCAGTGGAAGTGCTGTAATAGAGGTATTTCCTTTTCCCATTAAACAGGTAAAAAGGTAAAGGTAAAGGTAAAGGTTCCCTTGCTCGAAAGTCAGTCGAATCCGACTCTAGGATTGCGGTGCTCATCTCCGTTTCAAAGCCGAAGAGCCAGCGCCGTCCGAAGACATTTCCGTGGTCATGTGGCCGGCATGACTAAACACCGAGGCGCACGGAACGCTGCTACCTTCCCACCGAAGTGGTACCTATTTATCTACCTGCAATTTCTTGGTTTCAAACTGCTAGGTTGGCAGGAGCTGGAACTAGAGACGGGAGCTCACTCCGTCATGCGGCACACTCGGGTCTCGAACTGCTGAACTACCGACCTTCCACAGCCTGCAGCTCAGCCTCTTAACCACTTGAGCCACCGCAGCTCCATTAAACAGGTAGAAGAGCAAAATGTGAAGAAGAGAAATTTCTTCCTTCCAAGGTTAGAAAAGCCTCAGAACAACAAAAGAAATGCAGTGCTGGCTGATGATAAAGAGGGAGAAAATACAAGATATTTACATATTCTGAGTATCTGAAAGGCATCCCCATCCTTATTACTTACACTCCTGGAGCTATGAGAAAGATAAATATTTCCATGCCCAAGAATCATGGGATAGGGATGCAACCTAACAGAGAGTGACAGGATACAAGTGAATAACTTGCTTTCATACTATGATCTAGTTGTATGTGCTGGTCTTCAGGTGGCCATCATGGTTAAACCAGTGTAGGGGTGAGGTACAGTTATTATCAGCCTCTGCAGTCCACTCCACAATAGTTCTTTGTGGACATATCACACTGTCAGTGCTTTATGTTGCAGCTCTTATTTCCATCCACATGCCCTCTTCCACATTTCTCTTTCCACAATCCTAGGCCATAAACTTTGACTCCCTGGTTGCATTCACCATGGACTATTTATTTATTTATTATTTCTATTTATACCCTGCCCTCCCTGCTGGCAGGCTCAGACTACATGGAATTCATTTTTTATTCACTGTCACCCTTGATTTCATTTGGGAAAAGCAAGATACAATAGTTTAAATAAATAAGTTAAAGAAAACCTTGTTTGTTTACAAATATTCCTGACTTTGGTTGATATTATATCATTTTATTCTGTTAATAGTTCATATATTGTTTTAGTTTCCCTTCTGTGCTTTTTTGTGATTTTTTGTATAGAAAGGTGGCAAAATTTAGAAACAATTTTAACTATAATCACAGAAATCTTTGCCCCTCTGCCTACCCTGCACTGAGGAATATATTTCAACTACGTTACTGCTTACAGCAGAAAATGCTAAGCATTCCCTCTCCTTGCAAGATCTACTGCTCTTACAAATCCTACATTTTCACAATAAAATACAATTATTCATTCTTCACCCATTTCTATCCTGATCCAGTTATATTTTATTCCTCCCCCTGCTTTCCTGCTTATAGCTGTTAAATATGTCAATGCACAGCAAAAGGCAAAATAAAAAAATATATATAATTTCAGTTGCTGCTACTAATCATGCTCCCACAAACACAGCATGCTCAGTAGAAAGGCTCTCCTAGGCAGACAGCACAAGTAATACCGAAAAGGCCAACCTTGTGATGAAAAGGTGCTGCTGATTCCCACCTAAGAGCATCCCCCCCCCTTCACAGCCACACTCGTTCCACACATACCCACAAGCCTTCCAACAACATACACAGAAGGCACCTAGCCCCAGAAACCTCTTCCTACCTGTCCCAAGGGATCTACACTCCCATTGCACCCTGAAGGGCCTACCTGCCTCTACTGGTGCCATTCTCCTCCCTGGTCTTAACCTGCTGCAGCCTCTGGGGGCTTCATTTCTTTTTAAACCCACCTCTTCATTTTATCACTAGAGCGCTTACAGACAGGGTTGCCGGCATTTCAACCAGCCCCTGAATCTGGCCTCAGGAAGCAGCTTGATGGGCACCCATTAGGTGCTAATAACGATGCATCATCTGCACGCTGTAGTTTCCCCGGGTGACTACTAAAGAACGTCTTTTTCTTTTCTTCGTCATCTGGAAACCCACTGGCTGAGCCGGTTTGTCCCTCAGCCTTTCATGTGTAGAAGGGCTCAATCCGAAGCCCTCCCCCGCCCAGTGGGCCCGGGCCTTCCCTTTTCCTGCCACCCTCTCCCTTCTCTCCCCGCCCCTCACCAGCTCTTCCTGGCGGCCGGAGGTCTACTCGGGTTGGGCTCAGCCACCCGGAACATGTACCCGGCCCCAGCCGTCGGCCGCTCCCTGAGGAGACGGGTGCCGCTTCGCAGAGATTCGGGAAGGCGACAGTCCACCGGACCACTCTCCGGCGGCGGCGGAGCCTTTCACACCCCCATGTTGGTATCCCGGAAGCAGCCGAGACGCTGGAAGGAAACACGGCTCGACCATTGCTAGCAGGAACGGGAAGCGGCAGCACCACAGAGATTTCTTCGGAAGACTTATTGCGCCTCCGGCCTCATTCGTCTCCCCAACCCCTGGGCGTGTTCGGCTTCCTCTCCTTCCTCCCCGTGAACGAGAACACGTGAGAGAGGATACATTCCGTGCTCCCCCGGTCCCGGCTCGTGTGGTACAGCCCGGTTGCTATGACGACAGCTTGTATACCATCCATGGGAGCCGGAGGGGCGGGGGGAAGATGGCCACCTTGGTCAGGCTGCAAGGGAGGTTGCCTGGCTTCAAGGAGGAGTTTTTCCAGAGGAACAGGTAACTGCGACCCCCACAGCTCTTGTAGTCTCTTAAGGGCCTGATCGTCCGCACAGCACGCATGTCCTGGGACGATCTTCCCGTCGGGCTGTCTTTATGTTACTGATAGCAGTGTTTCAAAACTTTTGTTTGTTTGTTTGTTAAGGAATTTCACTGCAGTGGGGAGGTGGCAGGAAAGGAGTTCAAAAGGGCACTTCTAAGCCATGTAAGCAGACTCTTTTATCCAGTTAAAGTAATATAAGAAAGCAATAGCTAAATGTGCATGTAAAGGAACACGTAAATGTACTTAATATGCAGTATGCTTTATTTATATTATTTATAATCCACCTTTCTTAGAGGGACTCAGTGTGGATTACATGTCGTGAGTCAGTACAATCAACAAAATGAGGCATTCGGTAAGCAATGGACTAGGGTTGTAGATGTCTGGATCCACCAGATTTCTACAAGAAAGAACTGAAGCATAGCACAAGTGTTAACATGACACATAAGTGGTGCAAAAATTACATAATGGGATCCTACTTACAGTAAACTTGCATAGAATGCCATGGCTTGACTGTTATCAGGAAATAGATGGAGCATGCAGACACTCCATTGGCTGTCCATCTGTTCTAGAGCTCAGTTTAAGGTATTGGCTATCACATACAAACATGTTTCTGGTCCCTCTTATCTGTGGAACCACTTCTCCTCGTATGTCAGCAGGCGCTTCTGTTGGTGCCATCTTGCAAATGGTCAAAATCAATAACTGCCCATGCAAGTGCTTTCTCTGTTGGGGTTCCCAACTTATGGAATGGCCTGCCTGAGGAGGTCAGGAAAGCTCACACTCTCCTGGCTTTCTGCAGACAATGAAAAATTGAATTACTCAAGAAGGTTTTTCTGCAGAGGTACTAGGGTTGCACTGTACAAAATGGTGCACAAAAGTTACTTGAATAAATGATTAGGAACTGCGGTCTATTCTGTTGAATTAAGAGTGGTGGTGGAGGGACTGGAGTTTATTGGGGGGGGGCAGGGCAAAGAAGGAAATGGGTCTGGGACTTCAGAGCAAGGAGAAGTACAACTAGATTTATTTCTAGAATGCTTCCCTTTCCAGGCACCCCTGTTCTATCTGTCCTTATTTGAAAAATGCATTTGATGGAGCTCTCTTGAGGAGAGCATTGGGCATTTATTGATGTTCTTATTTCATTTTCATGATGCCTTTCTTACAGGGAAGCAAATAGCTCCTCAAGGTGGGCAAAGGGGGAGAAAGGTGAAATGTGAAAAAGCCATAGTGTAGCTTTCATCACCTCATAGGGCAAAGTAACCTTTAACAAAGGGGTGTTAAACTCATTTGTTATGAGGGTCAGAACTGAAATAAATGGGACCTTTTTGGGCCAGGCCGCGTGCATCATAAAATGTAACACTGGGTAGCAGAGATATAAACTTTATAAAGGCCACAGACAAACACAATTAAATATATTATTTTTTTACTTAAAATACAAACATGCTTAAAACATTAACATTCTTGCAATATTTTGTTGCTGATGCCCCTGTGCTGCCTGGTGGGGAGTCTACAAAACTAAACTGGAATGTTTGTCTACAAAACTTTACTCTTCCCCAGAAAAATAACTACAGCTCCTATGAGGCAAGCAGGAATACAGTGAAGAGGAGGGGGAGGGGGAGGCGGACCCAGTTGCACCCAGACGAACCATGGCATAACCAGCCCAACAAAACAAACACACACACAGTAGCAAGGCACAGGAAAGCTCATACCTTGAAGGAAACTTTGTCAGTCAGATGCCACTGGACTCAAACTTTGTTTTGCACACACAGAGATGTGCGGTAGCCAGGTGAGGGGGAGAGGGAGGGGAGATGGAAGCAGACCCAGTTGCACCTGGGAGAACTGGAGCATAAGGACCCCAACAGAACGCACACAGAAAGAGAGAAACAAGGCACAGGAGAGCTCACATCTTGACTCAAACATTGGACTCAAACATTGCTTTGCACACACAGAGACGCCCACACAGTAGCCAGGCGAGGGGAAGAGGGAGGGGAGGTAGAAGCAGACCCAGCTGCACCCAGGAGAACTACTGCAGAACAAGCCCAGCAGAACATACACACACTGTAGGAAGGCCCAGGAAAGTTCATACCTTGAAGAAAACATTGGCTGCGGTCACACGCAACATTAGCCACGCAAGAGATACGGAAGACAAGCGGAGTTTCCGGTCGCGATCTCACCAGCACATCTGGGAAGCGTAGTGCTTCCGTGGCACAACTGAGGCTTCCTGCCGAAAAAGCGCAGCAAAAAACTAGTACCTTGGAGGTACTAGTTTCCAGAAACTGCGGGGCAAGGGTGGGCGTCTGATCGCGTTTCCGGTGGTATCCGGCGCCCGCCCATGTCCCCTTGCGGAAAAGGGTTTTTTTCCCCCCACGTCTCCGTGGATGCGCACACGCACCCAACGGAGCATGCACATTCGTAGTGTACACAAAAAAAGAAAACCAGTTCGCCGCGCCGCGCGCTTCTTCATTGCGCGCAGGCGTGTGTTGTGATCGGCACCTCTCCCTTGCCATGGAACCTCCACAGTACCTCCACAGAACCTCCACAGTAGGTCTGATCGCTTTACTGCATGTTAGTTTGCCCCGGGGCAAACAGCCACACTTCTCCTCTGCAGTTTCCTGCCCGTGTGGCAGGGGCCGATGTTGGTCTTAAGGTGCCACTAGATTCAAAGTTTGCTTCACACTCACACAGACGTGCAGTAGCAAGGTGAGGGGAGAGGCAGACCCAAGCAGTGAGGGAGCGGGATTTGCGTGCGGAAAGACAGGAGGGGTATTTAGCCCCATCCAGTTCATTCAAGTTAGGAAAAGAGAGCCCCAAAGTGCATGCTGCCTATGGTAGCTGAAACAGTGGTTCCCTCCACTTCTCTTCCTCTGACCACTTGCTTGTGGGCCAGATTAAAGCCCTGGGAGGGCTGGTTCTGGCCCTTGGGCTGTAGGTTTGACAGCCGTGCTTTAACACATATCCTGTTTTCTTAAACATAGCAGATGGTGATTCTTCTTATGCTAGTAGTGTACAATAGATAAGGTAGTAATATTCTTTAAAGTATTTCTATTGGTTTAGGTTTGATGTAGTACTGAGTTGTCATTATGTAATTGGCATAAAAGTTCTGCAAGATCCTGATTTCAGTTTTGCCTATATATGCTTTTGCTTTTGTCTGTAAAGTTGTCAGTATCTTGAATTTTCTTAGGACTAGATTCCTTGATTATGATCAGTAAATAAAAGAAAAGAGTTTCTACTCCAGTTATTGGTAGTAGTTTGGACCCCTTCTTTGAATCCATCTAAAATTAGTGATTTCTCCATCAGGTGGATGAAAAGAGCACTTTACTGGCGGTGGGAGGGGGATTTTTAGTTTGCTGTCCTTGAGCTGCCTGTCCTTAGCTTGGCTAAGGTTCACACTTAGCACGTGAACTCAGGAGGAGAAGAGCTGGAGGCAGTGCAAGCTGGGGAGCAGCTATATAAAATGATGTTCTCACTGTCAAGGGATTCTTTGGGGGAAAATGCCATTCTACTGCCTCCCCAGTCTGAAAACACACACAAGCAATAGGAAGTGAATGCACAGTGCTTCCTTGGCCATGGTATAAATTCAGGTAGTACAAGGAATATTTGAAAGGTGTACTCGTTCCGTATGTTCTTGGGATTTTCTACCTCCATCTCTGTAGACTCTCTCTTTTTATCAAATGGCCGCATTGGACAAGGGAGGTAACTTCTAAGAGATGCAATAGCTCACAGTGGAGAATGTTCTTACTGTACAGTGATCGCTCTCCCGTCTTGGGCAATAGATAGAAGGCAGCCTGTCGTTTTCATATAAGAGTGATACTTTTTGACAGGAAGGATGTGTAAAAACATATGTTACTGGTAACAAGAATCACACTGAATGATTACTAGGGTGTGGTCACACACACAAGATAAATTGGGGGGGAAGCGAGGCTATTCCCTCCGGAGGAATTTGACCCGCAGTTGTGAGATCACACAGTCCTTTGAAGCTGTGGGGGCAGCCACTGCATGCTCAGACACAACCACGGGTGAGTCAGGTCCCCCCCCCCGTTTGTTTCCGATTCCCTTAAATAGGGAATCGATGGATTGCATCTCAGCACCGAGGGCTCCCTATGGAGTGTGCGATGATGTGCATACTGAGAAGGGAGTAAAAAACAACGGCACGGAGTCGGGATGGCCTGATCAGACCATCCCGACGCCATGAGTGCACTGGAGCAATCAGACAGGGGAAAGTCTGTCCGTGGCCCATAGCAACCTGTTTGCTACTGGACTTTCCCCGGTGTCTCTGCGGCGGAGCAAAATGGGTTGCCGACGGGTGCGGGGTGCTTTCCAGATGTTCGTGTCTGATTGCACCCTTTAAATCCACCCAGCATTCGCACCTATGGTGCGGCTAATTGTGCATGTGATCTCGCCCCTAGAATACTTTCTTTCTGAAGGGCAATGGAAATGCACTGAGATTTCTAAATGAAAACAGAGGTACGCAGTTTCTCAAAAGGTTCATAGGCAGCTAAAGATGATGAGTTGCTAATTCAGTGATTGTAAAAGACCACCTAAATGCTTCACATTTTGAATAACTGTAGACATGCACATATATTTGTAAATAAGGTAA